GGTGAGGGAGGTTGCCCCGATCCGGACCCGTCTCATTGTCATCCCTCATTAGCACATGTAAGTGGAAAATAATAGACTAAATGTATAAAGAATGATCAAGTATTAAGCTAATATTTCTTTTTCAATATTAATACGGATAACGTATATGATCTTCTTGATATTTCTTTTCTTGACAATCTTAATTTATTGATTTAATATGCACTCAAAGAGATTTAATCAAAAATATTGTCATTTTGTACACAATTTATTTTGTTGTTAATTAAGAAATTGGTTCCTATCAAGATATTCAGCTAAACTACTCATAGAACTTGTGTCTTGTGCATTAACACAAAATCAAATATCCATTCAAAATGAAATATTTTATTTCAAAATACTGTTTCTTTATTCACTCGTTTATTTTGAATGGTTTTGAACGAACAGAACCATATTCTAAAGAGTAGTGTTATTTACCATTACTGGTGTTTAACATCAATTTAGTTGACAGTACTAATGACATCAAATTATATGTTCAATTAAAATGAATCACATAATTTCATCTTTAATCGAACCTATCATATAATACCACATAAATTGATGTTCAATACTATTGATGTTAGATAGTATTATTCTATTCTGAAATACGGAAAAAGAGTAAATTTCGATATAGTAATAAAGGCAAAACATGTTAATTTGTATAAGAAGAATTACCTGAGAAAGAAGTGAAATGAGCTGTATTTCCCTTTCCAAGTTGGTTCCAAGAAGCTGATGAATAGTTAGATTTTAATTGGCCAAAAGCTTCACCCGATTGGGGTCCAAGTCCCATCCACCGAGGCCCCATGCCAAAGGGATTTTGTAATTTAGTCCCTAATTCATGTTCTTTGAAAAATACTGAGTGCATGGTCATAGTGTCAAAATGCACCTTTTTCCTGCATTTCCATCAATTTAATTAATAGGCAACCACGAAAAAAACATACCAAAATTTAGAAATAAAAAATTAATTACATATATATCATATTCCTATGATCTTGCACTTCTCGACACATAGTTGATGTTCGAGAATTCTACATAAACTTAATTGTTTCGATTCTTTTTTTTTTTTTATTGTCAATGGAAACAGAAATTTAATAAAAGTTAGGGAAAAAATTGAAGTATAGAAAAACAAGACAAGTAGACAACTTATCCATTTCTTCTGTGTGTGAAAAAAAAAAAATTAAGATTACTGGGCAAAATTTGCATGACAATGAATGTATTAAAATGATTCAAATTATAACAAAGAGTTTAAATAATATAATGTGAAAGCCAATAATCTTACTGTAGCAGAGAGAAGAGAATTTTTTTTTTTTTGGCAGGATCACCATTTTTAATCTACTCGAGCTTTTAGGTCTCCACCTAGATGTAGTCGGAGAGTTTGGATTCTCCGACCCTCTTTATTGAATTGTAAATTTTGGTACAACGGGAGGGATGAGAGAGAAGAAAAAGATGAGAGAGAAAGTGAAGAAATAAACAAATTACAAAGACACAGAACAAGAAGAAGATGAACATACCTAGTTGAAATGAGCAACCTCAAGTACTATGTTGTCCGTACAATATCAGACCAGAAAGAGGGAGAGGAGGTATGTATAGTATGTGTGATCCTATGTGTAATGTGGAACTACCCAATGAGATATCTGTGTCATGCAAATCTTTTTTTATTCACATAATAGTTTTTAAGAATCTCTCTTTTTTGATTATTTTTGTATAATTACTTATTTTAAGTCAAGTTTGATTTAGTTATTGCTTTATCTTCTCATCCTCAATTAATTCTAGATGAGTCATGAGTGGCACTTATGATTAAATCTTATATTATTTGATACAAATTAATTTAAGAATTTACTTTCTAGGGACCTATCTCCTCTTTAACAATTTACAACAAGAAATTTGAACTTATACTCAAAAAATATTTAGGATTGATTAATACAGAAATTCTTCTTCATTCTCCATTCACTCTATTATGGAAAAACGATAAAAGCAACTAGATTGTCTTCAAGCGATTCAACACAATACATAATAATTAGTGGGAGACGTTTCAATGGATTCACTATTATTTCTCTTAAAAATTTATTAATAATTTTAAACAAACTGAGAGATCTAGCTCATATGTAGTGAAGGAAGATCGTTGTTTTATGATTTGTGTTAAAAGAGATTACGATATTACAGAGGAAAAAAATTTCACATGTACTTATATCCTTATAACATGTCTTCTTATGTATATCGGATTTAATTGTTTATAATAGACGCTATGTTTAAATTCTTATACTTTAGTTTTTATTTTTTTGCCAAAGTCATATGTATATAGCATATGCGATTAAGGTAAACCCTTTCAAGTCACTTGAAAGAGAAAGTTATCTAAATCATTGAAATGGTATTTAAAAGTACATCGGTCAATTCTAGCATTACCTAGTTTGGATGTGTATCATAGCTTACCCGAGGAAGTAGCAAATTTATATATTTCGATGATTGAAGATCATATGATACAAATTAAAGTAGATGAGTAATTTGTATCATTTAAAAATTCGAATAACTCACACCTTTCATTCTTGATCTTAGTTGATTACATTCCGTCCAACATATCGAACGCCGTAAAACTCTTAAGAAGCTAGAATTGACTCTGATCTTCTCTCTATCGTCCAAAGTGTTGCAACAGAAGGGGACCCAAAATGCCCCCTCTCCTCTAGCAAATTGAGGTGGTACAACTCTTTTGGTCACTTTCAAAACTTTGATCTTGGGCTGTTAGCATTGGTTCTTGTTTTTAGGTTAATGACGTGTGCCACGTGTCGAGGACCCATTTAACTTCTCAAAGTGGAATACACCGAGAGTGTATAAAAGATTTCTGTTTTCATCTTCTTTCTATATTTGCAATCCACATCAGATAAGACAACTTTTATTATATATATATATATA